CGTAGTGGTCTAATTCCTTCGACACTTAGTACATTTCTTACTGGTATAAGCAATCGGATGTTCCACTTATCTTCAAGTTGAAAAATATCTCAACTAACACCAAAATCACTAGCATCATACATAAAAAGAACGGTTTCTGAAAATTAGGGCTACTTAAGACAGACGCGGTGGTAATCGATGATGTGATACTGGTAAAAGCTTCCTCAGTATCTGGCATCTATGTAATAGACTGTCCCTTTTTCCAATCTTTCAACAAATTCGTAATGGGGGTAACCAATGAACAGTAATCTGCCGACGAAAATACTTAATCATGCCAATTAAGCTATCAACCTGAGTAGTAGTTCTAGGGGTAAAAAAATCACAAATAACCGAAACCTTTTTCGGATCAGTACGGAGCCCCTTATCATGTACGACTTAACCTAAATAATTCAACGAAAGTCGACAAAAAATACACTTCTTATAACTAATGGTAAGGTTAGCAACTTTCAACCGTTTTCTAACCTGACTTAATATTTCTAAATTTTCGCAAAAGTAGAGGTCACAATAATAATATCGTCTAGATACTAAAACACATACTCATCAAATGCAGAACCCAAAACTAAATACTAAATAATAAATCCCTTCTGATGAACAGCAAACCCAATTTTGTATTTACATTTTTCGTCCAACGAAATTTGATATAATGCTTGTCTAAACTAAATTGAAAAAATATATTTCGTGTTTCGAAGTTGACTTAAAATGGTATCAATTAATGGTAATGGAAAAGCATCCTTAGTAACTTCTAAAGAATTTAATTTACGACCATTAAAGCAAACCTTGTAAGTATCATCAGATTTCTTCACTAACCATATTGGTGAAGAATAACTAGAGCATTTCATTTTGTAGAAAAGAAAAAACCAACACAACACTGTACTCAGGAATATGGCTTGGTAACAATCTTATGAAGTCTCACTCAAGGAACCAATTTCACAAATGCCTACAATAACATTTTGTATTCGGATATTCAACTTTTAACTTTTCACTTATTAGCAAAACTAATAAATAGTTTTAATATGTAGTTATTTTAAAATTTAAGTATTATATTGAAGGCATGCTCAAGGAATTGGCGTACCCGTTCGTCGTTGAGTGTGGGGAAAGGCATCGTTGAAAATATTATTAAAGTTTATTTTGTATATATATATATATATATATATATATATATATATATATATATATATATATATATATTATGTATGAAGTACTTCAATTAGTGTCCTGTTTCATAACTACATTTCTTTTTTTTTAATTCTTGAAATTGGTAACTAAACTGGCAACCAAAAGTTATTTAAATGTAATGAATGTTGGATCTTGTTAGTGTATTTTATCGATAATAATTACTATTGATTCTAACTATGTGTTCACAGTCAAGTTTGAGTCATGTAAACTCGATATATGGCTTGTATCTAATGAGATGATATTATATCACTCAGATTTTTAATATCACCTTGATAGAGAAATCATTAAGCAAAATGTAAGACATTAATAAATTCTCTCTTGAATTTGTTATTTTCATGATGAAGAACGATGGTATTACCAAAGCTCATGGAATGACCTGTAGAATGGTATTTAGCTAATATACATCGGTCGGGATAAAGGCGTAAATAACTTTTATGGAGAGATCCTAGATTTAAGTAGTTCAGAAGTTTGACCAGTGTACAACTTATTACATAAAGAACAGGGAATGCTATACACAATATTACTAAGCTTATCCTTTTCTATTTTGTCCTTAATTTTTGAATAAAGGTTTAAAAGTAAGTTTAAAAAGGCATAACAGTTATAGCAAATAACAAAATTAATTAAAGTTAAATTTAAAAGAAATACCAAAAGATTACTAGAATTCTGAATTATAAAAGTTAAACCAACCCACACTTGATTTTAAGGTAATTATCTGTCTCGCTCTGTTGTCTAATGATTAACTGTTCTTACGGAGAATTAAATGTTCGTAATAACTATTAGTGAAGAGTTCTTAATAGCTGATTGAAAGTTCGTAAGGAAATATTAAATGGTATTTTAATTAAATCGCTATATCGGTAGTTAACCTTAACTAGAGGTGCAGAAATGATTGACGCAGACTTATCCAGGATTGGGTAATATTATTCAATATTATTTGCCCAGATAATTGAAGGTAATATGATTATGACAACTTACAGTAAATCTCGATGACTGCTACACCACACTGATTATACTTTACTAGTATCCAACACTGAAGTTAATTAAAATAATGGTACTTTATAACAATATTTAATCTAATATGGTATTTTTGATTAAGTTACTTAAATATTTAAGTATATATACACTTAAAGAAAAAATTCACAGAGAACGATAATATAGACAAAGACTGCCCGACCAGAAGTGACTTTCTTGTTTCTTCCTCTCAAAATTTACCAAACTACCCAAAGAAAGGTCGGATAACCCCCACTTAAATTTGACAGGCCAGACTGTATCCATTTCTAGAAAGATAAAAAGGTTCTAACGACCATAGTAAGTACCGGTAAGAAACGTGGGAAAGATAAAACCATCTAAATTACGTTCTCTTAGAAAAATACTATAAAGTGCTTTCGACGATGTTTACCAAATTTATCAAAAAAATCGCCTGAAATTGAAAAGGATTAAGCCCTACCATAAAGTATATCACTTCGGCATCTTTGATAAGTAGGACCTTCCGTACTCTGAGAATTTCGTGATAAAATTTTCTAAATTACATTCATTTTACAAATTCCCAACTGTCAACAAACGCACGTGAAAGCCAAACAGGGTCATACTGAGGTGTATCATAAGATTTTTAAAAATATTTACTTTTGAAACTATTAGTGTAAGAATTTCCTGAAATTTAATCATTGTGAGCAAAATTTAATGTTCCACTGATGAAGAATGTACTAAAATAAAATATTCATTAACTGAGAGATACATAACAAAATGAACATTTTGAATAAAGTAGCATTGTCATAAGTTTATCAAAGCATAAAATCATACCATTTAAATTACTCAGAGTCTGAGGAGCTAGATGTTCTGCTGTCTTCGTCTCGATTTATTATTATGGGTTCGATATGGTTCTATATTATATTTTCCAACTTCCACATTTTGGACTCGACTTTTTGTTTAACGTGTTGCACACATTTCTGCCACGTAGTTGGACTAATATTTTTTATTGCATCATAAAAAATATTTTTCATATCTGCAAATTTAAAAGTAGGGTTTTTCGCTGCTACATAATTTTTACTTCTTCCCAGATGAGCTCAATCGGATTGAGCTCACAATGGTATGGAGGCAGCCTTAACACTACCTTCTTTTGGCTTTTTGCCATCTCATCAATGATATATTTATTATATTGTCCCTTACGTTCCTTAACGATAGCCAGCAGTTGCACTTTTAACACGAAGTCCTCAAATCCTATATTTTTTATTTCAGCCACGCTTGGATGTCAGCTTTTCAAGAAGCAGTAGTTGGAATTTTTTCCAATTTTCTGGAATGATATGACGCGTTGTTCAATACTTTGTCTTCTAATCGAGACAGTATATTTTTTAACCAATTTTCGAAAGATTTCCTGTCCATCTCTTTATAGTAGTTCCCACTTTTTTTTATTCAAACACCCACAGCCCTTCTGGAACAAACCCATCTTCACTGCCAATGTGACAGATTATTAGTCTTTTTCTTTTTCCTGAAAATTTTATTATTTTAAAATTCACTTGAAGTGGAAAAGCACATAAACATTTACCTGCAGGATAATTTAGCTATGTATATGCCAAATTTCATGTCAATCGAAGGGGTTCTTTAATGTTTACAGCAAAAACCGTAAATAAATGGACTAAAAAGTAAATAAAACTTTTCGAAACATCAATAAATTATAATATTGGTTTCTCTTACCTTTATTAAAGTGATTACCGCAAGCTATTTTTACTTATGATTAACAGATACTTTTTTTATATACTAAAAGTTCACTACACACTATAAAACTTAATACTAAACACTTAAACTAAATTCTAAAAAATAAGGCGACCAGTAAATAACTTAACAATAACTATAACATATAACCCACAATATATTAACTTAAAAAACAACACGCTAAAAATACAATTTGAATTTAAACAGACCGGCAAGTTTGGACCTGTAAAATGAGAATCCGTCTGGCTTAAGGCAATAAATTATATTTAATAACCTCTTGACGAATGAGAGGGCGAATATTAACACGTGCGTTTATTTACAGTTGGGAATTTGCTAAACGAATGTACCATAATGGTAAACAAGACCACCCGCGTATATATTTGCAAATACGTCAATAGGCGTCTCACCAATGGGGGTAAAGGGATTAAAAATGATTTAATATTTTAATTATAAAAATAATGTTACAATATGCTAAACATAATATGGAAACTAAACCCTATTGGTTGTCTTACTGATGTCACTATAGCGTCTATATAACGAATTTCTTGATATATTTGGAACATCCTAAAACTCTATGCTAAAACTAAATCTGTTCTTCATTTTAGTTACTGATAACTCCAATATTTTTTGTATCTGTTAATACTTATTACTTACTGTAATTTCTCTTTTAATGGGAATAAGCCACAATGAAAGTTTAAAATAATTATATTGATGTTTGAATTTCCACTTCAGAAATCGTTCTCAAATTACATACATTAATAAATTAAACAGATTTTGTTTTTGGTTTTTTAATAGCTTCAGAACAATATTATTACTTACTAGACTAGTTGATATATGAGTTGATATACTTTGTACGTAACTCATTGTATTTACTGTTTTTTTTTTAACTTCACTGTGCTCAAGCTTTTAAAATGAATAAATATCTATCTATATAAATGGAAAAAGATATTATCCGAATATAAATTAGATTAGTTTTAAATGGCAGTGTAATAATAAGCACATATTTTTGTCGATAAATTATTATTTACATGTGGTAACAAAAGATTATATACAAGTACTTACATAATACTTCGTTTTAGTTTATTGTTCCTGATGGATTTATTGTAACTACGAAAGCATTTAACCTGCATATGTCAAAAAATACTGGGTTATCCAAATCTCTCTCCATATTAAATGAAATCTGTTGTGGAAATATCGAAGAAAACTTAGAGGAATATTGCAAAAAGTAAGATTTGTTTTTTACATCCATTTGTATTCATGTCTTCACACGAAAGCGAAAATACCTTTGAATATAGTGAAATGTACACTGAGAGTGCTATACGGTTAAGATAGGAATGCGCATTTGCCTTATTTCACGCCATGCGCTTGGCATATAGTTCCACATGGTGGTCACGTACAGAACCACACAACGATAAACGATCTCAACACACCAACTACGGGTAAAAATACTTCTTTTATTTTAATTTTTAATGCAAATTAGAATAAAATACAGATACATTAGATATTTATTATAAAATACATGTATTTACAAATAATTGCCTCCAAGTAGTCAAATAAGAGACATGAATTTTAATAAAGGACTTAAGTTTTTAGCAAGAATTTATTAATATTCATTCAGAATACAAAATTCATATTTTTTGTTGTAAGTAACTCATCAAAGTGCTTAAGTATATATTTCCAGGAATTATTTAAATTCGTTAAATGACATCACGTATAAACGATATAAACTCCTGGACAAAATTAACGCACCACTTTAATTAATCTAAATATTTACAATATGAACACAAAATAAAACTAAGTTACGTTAAAATAATAATAAACACCTACAAATAAGTCCAACATGACTTTATCATGACCTTAATTATCCTTATTGTGTCTTTACAAATTTGTTTTTGCGGAAATGCGTAACTAAGCTAGCATAACTCCAAATTGCAAAAAGAAAAAAATCAGTAAAGTAACACAATAAAATTCATCTGGGTCAACACTAATACCGTGTAGGTCCTCCTCTACTTCTTATGACTGCATTTATGCGTCGAGACATGCTTGAAATCAAATGTTCAACAAAAGCTTGAGAAATATTCTCCCATTCTTCAATAACGGCCTCAATAAGTTGGTTGTGATTGGCAATGAGGGGTCTACGACTTCGAATCTTTTTTTTTTGAGACAGTCCCATAGATGTTCTATAGGATTCATATCAGGACTGTTAGGTGGCCACTCTAATAATGGAATATTAACATCATTTAGGTAGCCAATAACCTGTCGAGCCACATGAGGACTAGCGTTGTCTTGCATAAATAAAAAATTAGGTCCAAGAAACGGAGCAAAAGGCATTACATGTTCGACAATTATGTTGTCTAAGTAATAATGGGCATTCATAGACCTCGTACATATGGGGACCAACTCCGTACGAGCTTCAAAACACATTCCCCCAAAACATTTTAAAGCCACCACCAAAGGTACTTTAGGAGAGATATTGCAGCTGGCAAACCTTTCTCCTCGCTTTCGCCAGACACGCTCACGACCATCTGGAGCTTTTAGGCTTACTCTAGTCTCGTCGGAGAAAAGAACCCTGTGTTCTCTGGTAAGCAAGGGTTTTTTGGACGGTTTCCTGTTGCTCAATTCTGCTTCGTGTAAACGTCTTCTAACTGTTCGAGACGATATCGCTACATTTCGAACATTTGCTAGTTCATTTTTTAGCGCATTGCTGGTGACTCTCCTGTCTCTGAGAGCACGTTGTTTCAAAAAACGATCATCAATTTGATTAGTGCAACGTTTTCGCCCGTGCCCTGGTCTTCGATGGTACGATCCTGTTTCATTATATCGCCTCACCTTGCGACTGTTGCTGGAATAATGTCTTCCTAACAAGCCTGCAACATATCGCATTGAATATCCTTCATCTAGGAGAGTCGATGCTCCTGCCACCGCCATTGATAAATTTCTTTGGCGGTTCATTTTTTTGTTTAATTGTTATGCAAATGAACTACCAAACATGCATGTGATAAAAAATATCACAATAAAAAGCTTGTTTTTAACAAGCACTTTGCTTTAATCGGCACTTTTTATGAATAGTTTTACTCACTTATAATGTAAAACTAAGTTTAATACAAATTATTGGTAAAACAAGACTATTATTAGCTTACATAACAACTGTCACTGTCAAAAAGGTCCATAGGCAACTTGTCGTACAGTAAATTATCAATAAATAAAGATTATTGGGGAAAATATGAGTGGTGCATTAATTTTGTCCAGGAGTTTATGTTTAATTTTTTGAAACCACTACATATTTGTACATATTTTCACAATTTTCGTCTAAATTAGTAAATCCACCTCAAAATTATTTGATATTTGTATAAAAGTATCGCTATTTCAAGTACAAAACGTTCGATAAAAATAAGTATTTTACAAAGCTTTTTATACATTTCGAGAGCTATCAAATTATTACAACTTTACAATGTTTTTTAATCTACTATATACATATGATAAAATGTTATACTCGTACTGCCGGGAGTTGCATTTTTTCCAAGTCGGTTCTGTGCAACGCTCTTGAGTGAGTAATCAACAACTGGCCAATACCGACAATCCTGTGCGTATTGCACTCTCTATGTGAATTTCCCTATAGTCGTATGTTGTCAATATTAACCAATATTAACCAATATCAACAATAAACAGCAGGTTTCACGTTTCATATATATATATATATATATATATATATATATATATATATATATATATATATATATATATATATATATATATATATATATATATATATATATATAATTTGTTATTATGTTTTGTTTGTATATGAGCAATGAGTGTTTAAAATAAAATATATGAGTATAGGGTTTTTATCGCGGTTCTCGAAGAATTAGTTTGTAGGTACTTTTTTAAATTATCTTTATTATAACTATTATGAAACAGACATATATATCTAATATAAACAATATAAATTTAAAACAACCTATCTAAAATTTGAAATTCTTACAATTATTAAATTAAATTAACAAAATTTGGTACCTTTCTATCACTGAATGCCTAAAGTTTTCCAAAATCAAAGGTATAATCACCACTAAATATATTCTTAATCAGCCTCGGTTATCCTTATATTTGTGAAATTGCATATAGATATTATAATCTAAAATTCTTGTAATCTCCATATAATATATTTTCAAATATACTGTATACTATGTTCTTGTACTATTGACTGCTTAACATCATAATGAATTAACTCCATACTGTCACTGTATTACTGTACTAATATATATATATATATATATATATATATATATATATATATATATATATATATATATATATATATATATATATATATATATATATATATATATATACAGATTGAACTAAATTCGGAACATAGGAATATAATATATTTCGGCTCAATTCTGCTGTAGCTGGTTGGCCAACAAAAGATTGTCAAATAATTATATTATAAAAAATCCCATACTTCAGCGGGCTGCTGGATTCTGAACTCATAAAAATTGAAAGCTACACGTAAATCTACGATTTTATTATGCTGTCAAACCAGTTATAGTCCAGGAAATGTAGCATTTCACCTCGCAATTTTTTCGTGCGGCGTGGATTGACTTGAAATTTAACAGAAGGTAGGTAATAGCCTAAGGATCAAAATCTATATCGAACCAAAGTGCGCCAAAGCCTAGGGGGTGGTTGCCACCCCATCTCCGGGGTGAAATTTTTTTTACGTTTTAACTACAGGTTTCGATTAGAAAAGTGATTCTAAACAAAATATGTGCTATACATTTTTTTATAAAATGATATTTTTCAAGTTATTCGCGATTGAAAGTAACAACTTTTAGACGAAAAAATCCACGTTTTTAATCGATTTTTCGCGAATAACTTGAAAATGATGCATTTTATCAAAAAAATTGTAGAGAAAAATTTGTAGCTTTTAAAAAGACAAATACAATTACAAATACAATATCAATGTTCAGCGGTTTTCTTCAAATGCCAAATTTGAAAGATTCAAAGTCAAATATCGGGAAAATGATGCATTTTTGGAAGAAAACTCACAAAACCTTTTTTAAAGAGCATAAATAGACCTATCATAAACAATAAGGTCAATACCTCATTTTTTACGAAAAAATCGAGGAAAACAACACCCTAACCACCCCCATAATTAAAATCGATCTTCACCCTTCTGCAATTCCCTTTGTAGATGTATTGTTAATACGTCCAAGAAGTTTGACTCATTTAAAATGCTTAGTTTTAGAAAAAGTACAGCTTAAAGCGAGAAACGATTTACAATTTCATATTTTTTACCCTTATTTTTTTAAATATGCCCGAAAATACTGAATATATGAAAAAAATAAAAATTACCAAATTGTAGCTTTTTTAATGACTAAAATTATCCTTTATTTAGATTTGTTGTACAATGAATATTTGGCGAGAAATAGCCGTTTAAAGCATCGATTTACGATCAAGCACCATCTTTTTCGAGCCCTTTAAACTCACCCCATTTAAAAACCAAGAGTTCCAAAAAGATTTAATTCACAGATCCTTGTAGCTATTAAAAACCTCTACAAATCGTTTTTGAAGAAACATCTATCGTTAAAAATTAAAGGAAATACGTTAAAAAAACCAGTTAATTTTTTTCCGGAAAATTCCATTAGTATAGTACACTACATTTCGGAGCATAATAATCTACAAAACCGGTATATTAGCCAGTGGGTTGTTATACATTCGAAATTTTAAGCGTTCTTATTTTGAAATCCCATACAACAGAATAAAACATCTGCTCATATGTCTATGGCTTGGCAATGAAAATATCAGAGCAACAGATTGGGGATGGTTTTCCAAAGATGGTTTGTTATTACCCGTACGCATGAACAAACAACCTGCACCCGATAAATTTTTGAAAATTATTTTTTGCCAATGCAAAAAAGGATGCGGCGTTTCATATGGGTGCAGAAAAGTTGGTTTATACTGTAACTCTACTTGTTCTGGGTGCTCAGAACAAGTAGAGTTACAGGTCATTCACCAATAATTGAGGAAGATGATGATGACATAGATCACGATGAAGATGTAATTGATGACGAATAAAATTAATATTATAATTGTTTTACCTATAAATGTAAATATTTTCAACTATTTATGTAAATGTATAAGAATATATGGTGCCTTTTTATGTTGATAATTTTTTTTGTATTTAATTCTACTTTTTTCAATTTATATCTTAAAAATTAGTTTATAAAAACTGCAATGTTGTAAAGGGTGATTTTCAAAAGTTGAAAAGTTGCAAAATTTTGGCAAAAAATTGTTTTCACCTATAGCACTCATAACAATTGATTTTTAAGGGTTGAAAATGTATAAATTTGTATTTTAAAGTATAAAAAACTCACTATTTAACTAATCCAAACCAAATTTCACTCATCTTAGGATGTTTAATATTATTTTACAATTTTTGAAAATTAGGGGTAGTTTTCACCCCTAAGAACAATTAGGGTTCATCGGCATGACATAAACTATAAAACAGAGGGTGAGTTGAGCTTAACTCCAAATTTTTATGCAAGTCGTTCCAAGGTGAAATCATTTTCTTCGCATTACTAATTTTTTTATAATAATCTCTAATGAGGGTCGCTTTTTAAGGGTTGAAATATGATGGAACTTTATTGACAAGCACGAAACTATCATTATTTAATTAATTCAAACCAAATTTTACCCATATTCAGGTTTAATATGTTATTTTATAATGTTTGAAAATTAGGGGTAGTTTTCACCCCTAAGAACAATCAGGGTTTGTCGACATGACATAAACTATAAAGCAGCGGGTGAATTGAGCTTAAATCAAAATTTTTATCCAAATCGATCCAAGGCGAAATCATTTTTTTACAATTAGTAATTTTTTACATTAATCTCTAACAAGGGTTCCTTTTTAAGGGTTGAAATATGATGGAACTCTATTCAAAAGTATAAAATAATCATTATTTAATTAATTCAAACCAAATCTTACCCATATTCAGGTTTAATATGTTATTTTATAATTTTTGACAATTAGGGGTAGTTTTCACCCCTAAAACCCTTTAGCGCACTTCGGTTCGATATAGATTTTGATCCTTGGGCTATTACCTACCTTCTGCTAAAATTTCAACTGGATACATGCAGGACGAAAAAATTGCGAGGTTTTAACTTTTTTCGAGCTTCAATTCCTGAACTATTATCGCCTCCTTAGACAAACCCGTCTTACGCAAACAACTTTGTTGCGAGACAGATAGTTGAACGATATTTTATACAATGTCTATACCCAGGTATGGATTTATTTTTGTCCAAGTTTTATATTGGTCCACTATTTTAAATGCAGTTCAAACAGACATGTATTAAATTGTATGTTCCGTTTTAATTTGGTTCAATCTGTATGTGTGTTTCATAATAGTTATAATAAAGATAATTTTAAAAAAGTACTTACAAACTAATTCTTTGAGAACCGCGATAAAAACCCTATACTTATATATTTTATTTTAAACATTCATTGCTCATATACAAACAAACATCATAACAATATATATATATATATATATATATATATATATATATATATATATATATATATATATATGTATATATATATATACATATGTGTGTGTGAATGTGTGTGGGTGTGTGTATTGTCGATATAGCCTCTCTCCTTGCTCTCTCGTTTTCCATATTCTGGGTTAGCCCGTTCAAATTTAGTTACGCTGTTCTTTTTAAGTCGTCGTACCATCTTTGTTGCGGTCTTCCTACGCTTCTTCTTTTTCACCATGGTTTCTATCTAGTCACATTTCCACTCCAGGTTTCTTGACTTCTAGCCACATGTCCGGCTCGATTCCATTTTGAGGAACATACTCTTTATATTATTTCTTCGACTTTTGTTCGTTGACTAATCCATCTTTTAGTTTTTCTATCTCTTAAAGTTATTTCTAAAAGTTCTCTTTCTTAAACTATCTGGTACACTGGTAGTTTAGTTATTGTCCTGTCCAACCCCAATAATAATTGAATACATTTATTGCAGATCTTTGTGTTCAACTTTAGGGGAATTTTCATGTCTAGTTTGTATTTAAATTTAGCATATAATGCCTAACTTAACTTATTCTTCTACTAATTTTGTGTTCTTGGTTTTGTTTTTCTGTAGTGGCTGAATGTCCCAAGTATTGTTCTGAAGCTATTTTCTTGTGGCATTTTAAATAAATTACTATTTAACTGGGAATAAGCCACAATTAGAGATAAAAATACGTTTATTGACGTTTCAATTTCCACTTCGGAAATCGTTCTCAAAATACAAACAGTAAATTAAACAAATTTTGTTTTTTGTTACATAGTGAAAAATTCTTCTAATAATTTAATTTTAAAGTAGACCACTTTAAAATGATATTGCCAATATTGTTGAGTTGCGCTCCTGGGACGACTTTACTTATAAGATAGTTCATTCGAATACATGAAATCAACTTTAACTTGAGAATATCCGTCAGAAAATAATCATAGCATGTAATTCGTCTTTAAAAAGACAAACACATGACATGATGACAGTAAAATTCTCCTGTTAGTGATTCCATAGTAAATTATGAGGGAAAACCAGGAAAAAAACCTCATAATACTATCCCGACATGGTAAGTATTTGTTCGTGCATGTAGTTTACCTTCAATAAACACCAAAATTCTGATTTATATGTTTCGTTATTTAAAAAACATAAATGATGTATCCTCTATATGTTACTGACTTACTAATACTGGTATTTTCTTATTAATAACTTCCTCTTTCAATATACCAATCTTATATTAAAAATAGAGAATTTGATAGATCTCAAATATGTAAACACGCATGGGATAATGAACATAGGGTTCAATGCAATAATTCAAATGTAGTCCTAAAAGAAACGGATGGGAAAAAAAGAAAAACCAAAGAAGCGGCTCCAATTATGCTAAATGAGGCCAATTGTGTCGCAAATTCCTCGGCAGAATGTAGTAGGATCTGGTTACCAATATTGAAAGAGGAAGTTATTAATAAGAAAATACCAGTATAAGTAAGTCAGTAACATATAGAGGATACATCATTTATGTTTTTTAAATAACGAAACATATAAAATCAGAATTTTGGTGTTTATTGAAGGTAAACTAAATGCACGAACAAATACTTACCATGTCGGGATAGTATTATGAGATTTTTTTCCTGGTTTTTCCTCATAATTTACTATGGAATCACTAACAGGAGAATTTTACTGTCATCATGTCATGTGTTTGTCTTTTTAAAGACGAATTATATGCTATGATTTTTTTCTGACGGATATTCTCAAGTTAAAGTTGATTTCATGTATTCGAATGAACTATCTTATAAGTAAAGTCGTCCCAGGAGCGAACTCAACAATATTGGCAATATCATTTTAAAGTCGTCTACTTTAAAATGCATAATGTATGTCTGAATTGTCAAATACATGAGTCAGATAAAATTAAATTATTAGAAGAATTTTTTACTATGTAACAAAAAACAAAATTTGTTTAATTTACTGTTTGTATTTTGAGAACGATTTCCGAAGTGGAAATTGAAACGTCAATAAACGTATTTTTATCTTTAATTGTGGCTTATTCCCAGTTAAATAGTAATTAGTCCCAAGTATATATATATATATATATATATATATATATATATATATATATATATACATTTCATAAACACTGTTGGTACGACAGAGGCTTTGTTTTCAATACAAATGTTATACCAAAGATGCAGAGACGTCAACTGCAACGTTTACGCTTGTCTGTTTGATTGCGAGAAAGTATTTATCTGAATACAGCACGCCAAGATAATGCAAATACTAAAAACAGAAGAAAATAGCAACCAAGATTTAAAAATAATTAGAAATCTTAGAAAAGATAACAGAAGGCCAACTCTACGTCAACCAAACCCCAATAGAAAGAGTGACTCACTAAAACTACCTCGGCACCATAATAAATAAAGAATGGACTACAAACGAGGAGATAAGAGTTGGCTTTGGAAAAACTAAATTCAACTTCAACCGAATGGGGCCGATGCTGCGATGCTATGTCTTCTCTGTCCTTTTTTATGGTGTTGAAGCTTGGACCTTAAACAAAGATATGTGCAGAAGATTGAAAGCATTTGAGATGTGGCTATATCGGGGGAATACTTAAAATCTCGTGGATTGGCCGAGTAAAAAATGAAGAGGTTCTCAGAAGAATGAAGAAGAACCGAACCATCATCAAATCGAAAAAGTTACAATACTTTGGATCTATTATGCCAAATTAATCCAGATACGCCCTCCTACACGCGATTCTGTAAAAAAAAATATTTTGAAAGTGAGGCCCAGGGTTCAACATGTGAGGTTCAACACAACATCTGTGCAACTTTTCCACACTGCTGTAGATAAGAAAAAGATTGCCATGATGATCGCCAACATTCGCCATGGATAGGTACATAAAGAAGAAAGGCTCCGGGTTCAAACGCGTCTATTATTACTGTGCACTGCTTTCGACATCCTCTATGATGTCTTCTTCAGGGTTTAGTGCAGGGTTTAAGGAGCTCCCAAACACTGCACTGTTCACTACTCACTGCACCACTACAGTACTAAGTTCGTTAAATAACTACTTGTGTTAGAATGCGAAATGAAAAACGTTTTTATCTTAAAATTAAAATTTTCTTTTAGGATTGAGGAGTCCTTTAGAATTAATACAATATACCCTGAAGTTCAAAATGCAATTATAAAACAACTTAAAAAATACTCACACGATTCAGAGTCGTTAATTTGGGCAGTAAGGTCATCTGCCATTGGAGAAGATTCTGATGAGCTGTCAGCAGCTGGTCAATACAAAACATTTTTGGGTTGTAAAAATGAAGAGGAACTTTTTAAAAATATTCTTGCATGTTGGGCTTCTTTATACGACTATAAAAGTGTGCAGTATCGTTGGTTAGTATATATTTTAGTATACAGTTAGTATATATTTTATATATATTAGTTAGTATATATTTCGACGGTTACGATTGTTATCAGAACTTCATTTACTTTATTTCTTATATTTTAGGCAACATGGGTTACCGATTGTAACAGAAATGGCAGTAGTAGTACAAAAAATGATTCAGGCTACTGCAGCAGGTGTTCTTTTTACTTGTCACCCTTCAACCTCTAATCCTTCACAAATGGTTATCACATCAAACTTTGGACTTGGTGAAGTAAGAATATTGTAAAAAAAACAATTCTAAAGAATAATTTTTAAAATTTTGTAGACTGTAGTTTCTGGAGAAAGCGACCCTGATCATTTTATCCTTAATAGAACTTGGGATGAACAAATTTGTGTTATGGACAAGAGATTGGGCAATAAACATAAAGTATTAAACATGACAAATGGCAGTTTAGAAGAAATTATAGATAATCAAATATATAGCGAAGCTTGGAGTATATCCGAGAAGCAGGCTGTGCAATTGGGTAAAATTGGTATTTTATTAGAACAAGCTTTCGGAAATCCTAGAGACATTGAATGGGCCTATTTGAATGTAAGTGGGTTCCTATTAAAAACAAGTAACATGTGGTAAATATTATAAAGTAGTGGACATTTTGAATATGTTGATACATTCTAACAATTCAAACTTAATTACCTGATTGGAAGTACTACATTCTTTCTTTTCTAGGAAAAAATATACATACTTCAATCTAGGCCTATTACTACTCTAAATCAATGGTCAGACTTTGAATTGTCACACGAAATGGACTCTCCGATAAGAACTAAAAATTCATATTACACTGTAGCTAACATAAGAGAAGTTATTCCGAAGGCTGTCACAGTATTATCCCATTCTACCTCAGTAAAATCTACGGATTGGGCTATTCAAAAGTTCGCGCAGCAAAATTTTGACCCGGCTTCCAGGGCAGGAATTGTCACGTACCAACATAACATGCTGATAGACGTTATTGCGGTAAGATTTTTTATATCATAAACCACAACAAATAAAATACAAAAATAGTATTAAGTCTAGTTGAGGCAATATCCTCTAAGTTTATCCTTTGAAAGGATTAGTAAAAAATTCTTACAAACGGAGCACAGTATATTAACACCGATCCTAGCAGGTCACATAAATATCGTTTATTCATTCATCTTCTTCTTCTTTGAGTACAGTTTCCAAGTTTTAGGCGTGGGTAGCTTCCATGACGATTTGCCGATATCGTTCTCGATCTTGCGCGGCATGTAATAATTCATCTGCTGATAAGCCAGTCCATTGACGAAGGTTTCGGAGCCATGAGTATTTCGTTCTACCAATGCCTCTTCATACATAACATATAAAGCTTTTATTCAGATTGAGTTAAACATCGGCTTGATGAGAATTTTTGAAACATATTTTAAATTTTTAAATAAAAGTAAGATATATTCCAAGATTTTTGTGCGTATTCTGTTTTAAAAGAAAGATCATTTAATTGCGAAAATTATCATAAATTGACTCCCAGTAAAAAATAACTCTTTATCGTTTATACCAAGTGACACGACATTTTAAATATGGTGGAACGCTGATCTACATCCACCTAACACACGCCTAAAGGATAACATACATATAAGTCTTATTTCCGCCTGGGAGTCTCACAACATGCTCCTAGCGACATTGGGTTCAAATGTTTTAATAAGTTCAGTGACATGTCGGTGACACATAAGATGCATATTGGCACTATTATTATATATAACTATATTATAACAAAATCTAAAAACATTTCTAGTTAGCCATGCTTTTTACAGTATTGAAGAATTTTTAAATTTTTAATGTATGTCTTGTAATGTATTTTTTAATGTAATTTTTAATGTACTAAACTTTTAATGTGTGTAGGGAAAGCCAGGGCATAATGAGCACCCTAAGGACATTGGGTAATTTTGATCTTGTTCGTGGTAATATGGAAATTATTTTAGTTCTATATAGTTACATATTTATTATTTTTTATTACAAAATTCAATTTTAACCTAAAACTCACTTAACAATAAAAAAAATAATAAAAAATGTTAAGTTAACAAAAAACCATTATGCCCCGGGTATGGGGCACAATGAGCACAGCATTTAAGAGAAATTTTGCTTATTTCTGGAACTGTTCACAAATATATTTACACTCATCGTCATCGTCCTCTTCTCCAGCACAGGAGCAATGAGCCCATTTTTCGCATACATAACAACTTACCTACCCTTCATTTGATTGCAAGTATGAGTATCCACAGTATAGACAATCTACATCGGAAACGTCACTTTCCGAGTCATCTTCAACAGTTTTTTGTTTTTTCACATTGGTTTTAGATCTTTTGGCTTCTTTTTTGTGTTTACCTTTTCTGTTTTGTTTTCTTTATCATCATCATCATTCTTAAACACTTTTCGTTTTTTAGATTCAGCGTTAGAATTTCTAGCCTCTTTAATTTGAGTTGACTCCATGAGCTCGTTCTTGTAGGGCGATTCTGTTAAAATAGCTGTCTTTCCCTGATTTATTGTCTGCCTTTGTTTCTTTGTAGTCATTGGAATGGGTAAAATTTGCTGTGGAGAAGCAAACACAAATTTAGTTGGCTTATTGTTTTGATAAGGTAAATCGTGAAAAGGCAATCTGGTTGACATCCCAGGCTGTGGAGAGTGCCTTATGTTTTGGGAAGGTAAGTCTGAAAAAGGTGATCTGTTTGACGGTCCAGGTTGTGGAGAGTGCATTATGCTTTGTGAAGGTAGCGTGTTCTGCCGAGGCTCCATAAATCCAGATTTTGCGACTGTTCTATATTTGTAGTATCCGCTGCCACAAAATCAGCATCCACAAAAATATTTGGGTTATGTGGCCATATCCTGGTAGCTTTAAAACCATTTATAGCTATTGACATTGTTCCCGCTCGAATAAACGCCTTTCCAAAAAGTTCAGTCACTTGGTAGTGAGTAACTACTCGACCTGGATTCAACCTTAACCAATTTTTTATTTCGTCAGCGTAATAGACACTTAATGGTTTCATGAAGCTTACATCTAGTGACTGGAGTTTATGGGTACAATGAGGTGGAAAACACAACAGAACTACACCATGCTGTCTTGCAAGGTCAATAAGTTTTAAATTTTTTGTGTGCCTAAAATGGCCATCTAACAATAACAACACAATATTTTCTTTTAAAGCTCTTGACCATGCTACGAATTTTTTAAACCATTTAACAAACAAATCACCTTGCATCTAGCCTGAATCATTACACTCAGCCCAAGACCCTGGTGGTGCGCCATCTAACAGTTCCGGCTTCATTCGTTTCCTTGGAAAAATAAAAAGTGGAGGCATGAATGAACCATCTGCACCCATACATATTTCCACAGTAAGCATCTTCCCTATCTCTGCGGACGACAAAGACCCAACTTGCTTTTTCCCTTTGGTTGCGATAATTTTATTGAGACTTTTGGCAACAGTGGTTATGCCAGTCTCATCAACATTAAATAATCGATCTGCCATTATCTGGTATTTCTCAATAGTCGTAGTTAGAAGTTCAAAGAACCTATTTACTGAAATTTTGTTAAACCCCATAGCGCGTGCTGCAGAAGTTGCCTCTAGTTTTCTCAAAGATAGAACATCATGCCTTTAAGGAAAGCAGACAACCAATCGTCTCCCGCCATTTTGGTGGTATGATTAAAGTTATGGGAGATTTCGTTTCGTTCTGCTAACTGATATGCAACTTTTCGAAGGTCTCTTGATGTAAGCCCAAAAAGGCGATTTTCCATATCTTGAATATAGCCAACCAACTCCAATTCCTGCTCTGGTGTAAATACCGGTTTGAAGAATCCCATGCCTTTTTTTAACGGCACAAGACATGTCTTGATTGGCTTGGTATTTACGTATGCGACGTTGTAAAGTGGCACAAGGAACAGCATAATTTGTAGCAGCAGTTTGACACGCCATGTTTCGATTTATAACAGCATCAATTGCTTGTGCCACTCCATTCTCTGTCCAAGATTGTCTGTTGGTCTGTTTTATATAATTACGCATCATATTTTCTTAACTGAAATAGAACCAATCGTTGGTTTAAGAGTGTATCTAACAGCTTTATAACGAGGGGCAATACGGACAGGGGCATTATGGGCACCCTATTATTGCTCATTTTGCCCCGCTCATTATGCCCCACGCTTCATATTTAAGTATTTTTCCCTCCTTAAAAGAAACCACAACAATTCTTTTGATTTAAGTTACATTAATGTAATAACTAAACTCACCTTTTGATCGTAGGGCTGTAACAATTTTAAAAACTAATCACTGATTGCCGTAGTATACTAAACAATATCATACAAAATGAGAGATATCTATTACAAATAACGACCGCAGCGAACGGTTGATTCGTCTAAACTGAGTTGCCTGTTACCTGTTACGGGCACGTGCCTTTTACATTATGCTAGAGAGGTGTTGCCAAACTGCATTGGAAATTTTCTAAATTTAAGGAATTGTTCATCATGCCCCGGTGTTCATTTTGCCCTGGCTTCCCCTATACATTTTTACATTTGTATGCCATATATTTTTTTTTAAGTCAGATACAGTCAGATAATTGTGTAATGTTGTAATAAGCGGGTAGCGGGTAGGTACTCTTCCACAATCCCAGTGGAGGATAGACTTACTTCAGGGATGCGATCCTGCCCTACGCGAGCCTTGATTCTCTCTCAACTCCTGTGGAGAGAAATCATGTCCTAACCCCATTACTACCCAATACCTACTATCCTACCAATTTCTCAAACCAACTCACCAACCCACCTGGCAAGCATGGTGTTTAAATGCCAAAACCCCCTTAGCATGAACAGACATTCAAGAAAACGGCCCTCAGTCCCCGGCAGCTCGCTAGTTCCCGACCAAGGTAGCGGTAGAACTCACGGACAGCGGGTAGAGGGTGCGAAGAATCCCCGGGATGTAAGAGGCTACCAAGAACGACGAACGTTGCACATAATTATGTATAATGTAAGAACTTTATCTAATGATGAAAAAATGACAGAACTAGAGGAAGAACTCAAACATGTGAAATGGGATATTATAGGAATTAGCGAAGTCAAAAGAAGAGGTGAAGATCAGGTCAAACTAAAATCAGGAAACATATTCCACTATAAAGGGGAAACGGAATCGACAACTGGAGGAATAGGTTTATTAGTACACAAAAAAATACAGAAAAATATACAGAGCATTGACTGCATTTCCCCAAGAGTTATGTATATAAATCTAAGACTAAATAAGAGATACAATCTGAAAATAATCCAGGTATATGCCCCCACCAGCGATTACGAAGATGAAATTGTCGAAGCCTTCTATGAGGAAATCGAAAGAGCAAAAAAGCAGGAACCGGCTCATTACAATCTGATAATGGGAGATTTTAACGGGAAACTCGGAAGAAAAAAAGACGAACAAGAAGTAGCAATCGGAGATTTTGGAATCGGAGTAAGAAACGAAAGAGGCGAAATGCTTACCAACTTTCTACTGCAACACAAACTGTATGCAATGAACACATTTTTTAAGAAGAAACAGAATAGAAAATGGACGTGGCCTAGTCCAGACGGAAGAACTAAGAGCGAATATGATTATATAATAACAGACCAAAAGCAAATTATTCAAAATATCACTGTACTCAATAAACTATCAGTAGGAAGCGACCACAGACCAGTAAGAGCTAGAGTAACGATTAATCTACAAAAAGAAAGAGCAAAGATGATAAACAGTTGCAAACGCATAGTTTGGAATTCACCAAATCATCCAGAAGCATACATAAGAAATATAGCCGAAACTTTACAGAGTAATAATCCCAAACCTCTAAGTATCGACGATCACAATAAATTAATAACAGACTCAGTTAGAAACGCACAACTCAAATTTTTCAAGAAAAATGACACCAAAAGTGAAAAGATTAGCAAAGATACAAGGGCTCTCATGGAAATACGACGAAACCTAAGCGAGAACGAAAAGGGAAACAAAGAAGAATATAAAAAACTAAATAAAAGAATTTCAGCGGAAATTAGAAAAGATGTAAGAAGATATAATACTAATGTAATTACTCAAACAGTAGAAGAGAACAAAGGTTTAAAGATAATGAAAAGAAAACTTACGCAAAGTAAAAAAGAAATATACAAGCTGAGAGATAAAGACGGAAAGGCAACAACAGATAAACAAAATATTCTGAAAATAACTAGAGAATTTTATAAAGACCTCTATACCAGCCAAAGACCACAAGACAATTTCCCGACACGAGTAAATATTCTCATAAATCAGGGATCGGAAATACTTTTACCCATTACAGTGTCAGAAGTAAGAGCAACTTTAAAGGAAATGAAGAACCATCGATCGCCTGGTGATGATGGACTCGTTATCGAGGCAATAAAAGCAAGTGGAGAAATTTTATTAAAATCAGTAAGCGAACTGTTTACTAAATGCTTACATGTGGGTACGATTCCAAAAGACTGGAACAATGCAGTAATAGTCTTGTTACACAAAAAAGGCGATATTACTATATTAAAAAATTATAGACCCATCAGCCTCTTGACACATATGTACAAACTCTTTATGAAAATCTTAACAAAGAGGCTAACACCTAAACTTGATTTCTATCAGCCCAAAGAACAGGCAGGCTTCAGGGCAGGATATGGCACAAATGACCATTTGCATACCATAAAGATCCTAATAGAAAAGTGCATCGAGTACAACATATCACTGGTTCTTGCATTTATCGATTACGAGAAGGCTTTTGATTCTGTAGAGTTTGAAACAATACTGGAAGCCCTAAATCAAAGCCGAATAGATTACAGGTACACGAAACTAATCAAAAACATCTATCAGAACGCTACATCAAGTATACGACTGCACGAAGACACAGAAAAATTCAGCTTAGGTCGAGGAGTTAGACAAGGAGACAATATTTCACCAAAATTGTTCACGGCAGCTCTAGAGTCAATATTTAAGGGTAGGTACTCAATGGCAAGATATGGGCATCAATATAGATGGAAAAAGATTAAATCACCTAAGGTTTGCAGATGATGTTGTATTAATCGCAGATAACTTACAAGATACAGTTTCTATGATGCATTCGCTTAAAAGTCTGTCTGAAAGAGCAGGATTAAAGATAAACTTTGAGAAAACTAAAATTATAACAAATCTCGTAATGAGTGGAAATATAACTATTGACAATAATACCATACAACAAACAGACACTTACAAATATCTGGGACTCGAAATCAAAATAAGCAGAGACAATCAAACACATGAAATACAGAGGCGAATAGGTCTAACATGGGCAGCATTTGGCAAATTAAGCCATATTCTAAAAAGTTCAATTCCCATGTGTCTCAAGCGAAAGGTTTATAACCAATGTGTTTTACCTGTACAGACTTATGGAGCAGAGACTTTAACACTCACGCAAAAATCTGCGAATAAACTTAGAGTTACACAACGAGCCATGGAACGTGCAATGCTGAACGTGAGCCTTCGAGACCACATAACAAACCAACAAATCAGGCGAAGATCAGGAGTTCAAGACGTCATCGAAAGAACCACGACGCTTAAGTGGAACTGGGCAGGGCACTCAGTCAGAACACAAGATGGACGGTAGACAAGACGTATTATGGAATGGAGGCCCAGAAATTATAAAAGAAGCCGAGGACGACCACCGACTAGATGGACCGATGACATTAAACATGTAGCGGGAAACTGGATACAAGCGGCCCAGTATAGAGAACACTGGAAAGAACTGAGGGAGGCCTATGTCCAGCAGTGGACGCGATTGGCTGATTGATGATGATGATGCCATATATTTTTTTTTAAAGTCAGATACAGTCAGATAATTGTGTAATGTTGTATACATTGTATAAATTTCTAGACGAATAAATTCTATCCCTATATCAATCAAAAGAGGGTGTAAATGGAACAACATATTTTTCTCTTTATTTTTACATTTCACTACAATAGACAATTACAAAAATGTATAATACTTATAGTCTAAAATAATTGGTTGGTGAATTACAGACAAATGTTATATCAGAAATTTTATTGAAAGGGCTGGACTAATCTATTTTTAAATTTCTATTAGCTACAATAATTAATACAATACATTTAAAAATTAATTTAAATGTTCAAATTACATGCCTTTGAGCTCCTGGCAATAACCAAGACGGTTTATAAAATCCTTCAATACTCCAGTTAATGTTTCTAGATGAATGAGTCTTACCTCATGGAGAATTCTTTCTTTCAGTTTCAAGGTTTGAAATTGTTGACACATTGAAGTCTACTTTAGATTTATGATAACCCCAAAAGTAAAAAATCAAGGGTGCTAGATCAGGAGTTATTGCTGTCCGCTCTATAAATCCTCTCCTACTTATTAATATGTTGTAGAAAAGAGTATCTAAATAATCATGCACTCCTGCGCATAATCGTAGTGCACCGTCTTGTTGAACCCATATTAAATTATCAGGCACTTGTGGATTCTGGTTATCTGAATATAACTCCACAATAGTTGGAATAACGTCATTTAGTAGCATATCTAAATATGTTTGGGCTTCCAAGGTTCCTTCAATAAAAAAAATGAACCCACAATGTTGTTGCCGACAATTCCTGCTCAAACATTATCTATTTCAGGATACTGAGTATGGGCCTCCTTCATCCAATGAGGGGTTGGTGTCTAACCAGTACCTACAGTTTTGCCTGTTAATTGTTCCATTTAAATAAAATGATGCTTCGTCAGAAAATACTACATAATTTACAAATTGTGGGTCATTATTACATCGCTCCATTATGATTTCGCTAAATTCAATCATTCGATGAAAATCATTCTCACTGAACTCCCAAAGTCGATTAACTTTATACGCGTGCAAATTGTTTTTCAAATATTTTAAAACTGTATATTTATTCACTGAGTTTTCCATTGCGATTTGTCTATTGGATATGCGTGGATCTTCTTGCACAGTTAGTAACAAATTCAATTTTTCATCATCGCCAATTGTAGAACGACCTTTATAATTATCTCAGTTGACTGACAAATAGAACGATCTGGATACTTACCATTCCATAAATCACAAACTTCTTGTTGGGTTCGGCACTTGTTACCATATCCACACCCTTCTTCTTATAGTGCCTTGCATCTATAGTGCATTGGCGAATTATCCTAAGGCGACACGTCTATCTTTTGCGGCATGCAAAAGCTCGTTAGTGTTATTTATGCCTGTCTACTTCTTAATATTTTTATATACCCACATCCACACATGATTAAAATGATTTTTTAAATACATTTATCGATTATCTGTATCCGATCTTGCATTTTACAGACTTCTATACAAAATTTTCTATTTCACCTTTCGGTTTGCTCATGTCCGGAGTAAAGCTGATCCTAATATCGAGTTTGCTGTTTTCTGTAATCAAAATCGTTTTCAGGATTCTGTGGCTGATATATTCGATATCTGTTTCGAGTCATTTTCAAATTTGTCGTGCAGTAAAATGCCAACTTTTGAACTTGATAATTTGCTTTGTCGTTTTCGCTGTAAATAAATAGGAAATTTTTGTATTTTGATGTTTCTTTCAATATTCTAGCACGGTATTCTTTTTGTCTTGCTATGTTCGTCTTCAAATGTTTCTGGCATGTACATATTTGATGCTCTGTGATCGGTTCTATGAGCATGATTCTTTTTTACCGGGACACGTTGCTGGCCCATCTTCTTGCTCCTCTCTTCTTTTATCCGAGTTTGGTACAGCTATCTTGAGATTAAGGTATTTGATCCATCGTACAGCAGCACAGGCAGAATTCAATAAAAAATAATATTCTTATAACACTCCATTGTTTACCAACATTATTTTTTTTTAGTTGATACATAGAAACATAAAGTCTAAAGTACATGTCAGTGGCTTGGTAATGGATCTAGCAATATTCGGACACCCAGTATTAGATGATCAAATCCATGAAGTTATTAAACACCGTTTTGGTATTTCTTCAACCTTAAGGCTAACAAAAGACATAACTAGAATAATGCTAAACGCTTGGGTAGATAACGCTGGTGAGGCTAAAAGATTGGTAAATGACTTAAACCTTGATCTTAAAGACGGGGATGATGCACTAAAAATTTATATGAAAATTGATAGTAGTTTGGACACTGTAGGAAAAATATCTCTATGTCATGTTAAAACTAGTGGTGTTTCAGTATTCTTCCAAATTATTGCTATGAATATTATGCTTGAAGGAAAATCAGGTAAAAAAAATTCAATATATCGTCAGTGTAATTCGCATAGTACGTAACTCCATTTTATAATATTTTACAGGAGAGCTAAAAAACTAATTTAAATGATTAAACTTGTTATCGATTGGCAAGAAATTAATTTTTACGACTACTAGTCCACTCAGATAGAATTTGAATGTTCTATTTTTGGTTTTTTGATGAAATATTCAAATAGTTTTAAATAAAATTGGCGATGCGCTTTTTGCAAACTAATATTTTGAAAGCAAAATGGAAATACGCATTTTTCTGCAAAAAGTTTATTTATTTTTTAATACAAATAAACCAGTAACATAAGGATTGCATATCGGTAATTTTTTGAAGACTTATTATTTTTTATAATTATTTTTTTAGAGTAATTTTTCTTTGTCACCTTAATAAGTATATTCAATTGTTTACGGTACTCTAGGTAAGCTTTCTTTTTTTCTTCATTTGTTGGCTGATTTATGTGATCTCTATACAGTTGATTTTTTTTATTAATTGATTTGACTAGTCTTGCTGTAATCCATTTTTTTCGCTTTTCATTTGCGTGTTTTATTTTGATTTGATGGTTTTAGTATGTTTAATTATATAGTTATTTAATGTCTTTATTAAGTATTCTGTTATGTCATTCGTATTTTTTATATTATAATACTCAGTCCAATCAAAATTTTTGATATCCATTTTTAGGGATTTATAATTAATTATTTCTCTGGTTTTCTGTTTTAAATATGTAATACTGTTTACAGGTATGCTGATTAAAGTTCCTTTATGATCTGTAATGCACGTATCTAGGACAGCTGCTTTGCAACTATTTATTGTCTGTTCAGATTTAAATTTAACAAAAATGTGATCTAAGCAGTTCTTTTGCCTCGTTGGTTTATTAATCATAGAAACAAAGTTATGTTGTGAAAAATTATTTAAGTAAGCATTAGTTATTTCATTATTTTCCAATATGTTTATATTAATATCACCCAACAAAATATGACAATATGTTGCACACACACAAAGTTTATAAAACATAGTTCATAAATGAAACAGGAAAGTTAATATAAGATGCCACCCTTCTGGTACTCCCTGGCACTTCATTGGGTTTTGGCAGTTTAGCTACAATATCGCGTTTCAGAATAGAGCTAATATCATCCTGTATCGGGTAAAAAAATCCATAATTTTGTTTTCTTCTCATAAATTTGACGACTGGTTCAGCTGGGTCGGTGATATCTTGAACACAGCCTACATAATGATATGTTCCATTTTTCAATTCCAATGAGGCATCTGAATCACTTGATGAAGAACTAAATTTCCTTTTTGGAGGTTTAGGTCTTACAATAGACCTCTTTTTTTTACTATCACTAATACCTTGACCAAATGAAATTGAGTTGCCTCCTCGGTTTTTGTGTTCTACTTCTACACTTTTAAAATCATCGTTCACCACATTACCCGGTATTTTTCGTTTCACTACTTCTAATTTCTTTTCTTCTGTTCTTTCTGTTTCTATTTCAACTTCATTCTTTTCAGGTGTACTGGTATAGATTTTGGATCGACCTTGTTTGCGATTTGACTTTTTTCGGTTTAGCGAAAGTGTTGGATAGGGCCTTATATCTTGCAGGCTGACAAACTGTTTTTTTGAGACTTTGGAAGAACTTGTAACATTATGTAGTACAGTATTCACAATATCAGTAACGAGTGAAGTCACAAACTCCTTAACATTCTCGTTTGTATTGCTGGCAGGAACTAAACGAACATTGCTTATAATATTAATTATCAGTGAACTTTCGGGAGTTGTGTTAAGCAAAGTTGAAGCTTGTGCGATTGTGTTATCTTCTATGGAATTAGAAGAGTTATTTACTTCTGAAGTGGAATTTTCTTTATTCTCGCCCAAAGAATTTTGCTCTTCGTGCAAAACACCAATAAAATCCGAATCATTAAAAATTTGTAAATTAATGGGCCAGATGCCGCACTTACGGAAAGCATTAATTATATTGATCGGATTAAATGATAGCAATAATGGATTGGCGGTTAAATGAGCAATATCGTATATTGTGATTCCTTTGCCAGGGTGGCTCAGAATGTAGTCGTTAAAAGCCACCTTGCATCGACTTTTAAAGGGTCCATATACTCCCACGTCTAGGGGCTGCAGTCTATGGGTGCAGTGTGGTGGGAATGATAACATAACTAGTCCATTTGCTCTGCAATAATTTATAGCAGCCAAAGAAACATGAGTTTCATGGTTATCGACAATTAACAGTACTTTGTTATCAATGGAGCAATTCATGTTTTGTATGTGTTCCAGCACCTTTACAAATATGTCCGCCATCATCCACCCACTTTTAGATGCAAACCCCACTGAACCAGGTACCGATCCAAACATAAACGCATCCTTCATATGCACCCTCGGAAATATATACACAGGAGGGACAGTTGAACCAGTCGCTGTAATAATACCGCAGAACGGTACTAAGTTTCCTCTTTCAGCAGATACGCATTGGCCACTTTGCTTTAGTCCACTCTGACAAATAATTTTTGGTGTCTGAAATACTGTTGTTATTTCTGTTTCGTCCAGGTTTACTATTCGATCTGGAGAAAATTTATATTTTGCTTGAACCACAGTATAATTTTCAAAAAATACTCTTACATTTGCTGGATTAAAGGCAGATATCCTAGAAATACTAACGTTTTCGGGTTTCCTGTAAGATAAGTTAGGATGACGTTTCATAAATCCTCTCATCCATTCCTTGCCTGCTTGCTGATGTTCAGACCAGTTTGGAGGAAAGTTGGTATTTAGGGCTACAGCATACTGATAGGTCAGTAACCTGGAGTTAGAATACGTTAAGCTGAAATGCATTGCTGACGACTTTGAAAAATACTTTTCCAATTCAGCTTCTTCTTTTCTGTAGAGACTTGTCTGGATGCACATTTTCACTTCACTAAGTGATTTATTTGCTGAATCATCAATTTGTAACTGTTGTGTTTTAGACCTTAATTTTTTCACATGTCTATGAAGAATGGTTTTAGATATGTTGAACGTTAAAGCGGCATTTCTAATTGTTGTTTTATTTTTAATTACTTCCCATACGGCTTTCTTTATATCTCCAGCATTTATATCTGCACGATTTGTTTTTCGTTTGTAATTTCTTACCATCTGTAAAAAAAAAACAAAACCTGCACCAACATTTTTTCTAGAGTTTTAACTTAATAAATGGAACAGATTGGTACAATGTACCACACGTGGGGCAGTTTGGTACACTGTACCTGTCAAGTGTGTACCAACGCAACTCTACCCGAATTTGCATATAAAATACACGGTTCGTATATTACAAAAATTAAACTTCAAAATTATTGAAAATCTATATTTGCCAGTTTCCAACAAAACATATCGCGTGCTTTAAAAAATGATGTAACAAAAATTGTCACTTATAAAGATCAATCCATACATACACAAAGTTAAAATATTCTATGGATATAACGACCGTTCAGCGCCAAGAGTCTTAAAAAAACTGAAAAAACCTCATCAATTTTTATTACACCACTCTCGCGTTAAAATAAACAAAATACATTGATGTGATGGCGATAAAATATAAAAATTATAGCCGACAAGTGGAAAGATTGTTATGATTTAAAAAGGTTTTATAGCTAAAGCTTTCGACGAATATCAATAAGAGATTTTGTAACTTCAACGTTCAAAGCGGTATACAAACAAAATAATTATCAAATAAAATCCACAAGGAAAAATTCCTGTAGCTGGCTGTATACCACGTATAACAAAAAGAGGTTAATCTTTGTAAATGGGTATGTTTATTATATATTATAAATATACCCATTTACAAAGATTAACCTCTTTTTTTTTTTTTTTTTTTAATTATCAAATGGCTGTGACACTACCAATCTGCCCCCGTCTATTTGGTCCAATCTGCCTCAACCGACCCTGGCGTCGAAAAAATTACGTCTTCAGTTCACAATGCACTCTAACCTTGTAACTAAATATGGCATTTAGCCTATAAACATCTTAGATTATTACATTAAATCACGAATAGCAACACTCTTTGTTTTGAGGGTTAAATTACCATATGATGAATTGTTAAAAAACTTACTTTTGACGCCTAAAATTTTCAACTGACCACAAAATGTTTATATGCACTTCTACACATACAAGAGCTATGATGGCTTCTTATCGACTGACAGCGCGCCTATAACTGAAATACTGGAAATATTCGATTGTATTAAGGCCGTAAATTCGAATTGTCCCATGGTGCCCCACGTACCAATGTACCCCACCCTAACCTAATTGATAAATTATTATTGTAACGTAGGTTAGGATTATTCTTGTTTTTAGCTTTTATCTCATTAGTTACTTGTTCAATCAGATTTATTATATCATTAACAAGTAGTGTAGTGAATATATATCAAATTATAGTAGTCTGAGTTTATTATATTTGCCTTATTCCTTCTGTTTTGCAACAATTTTTGGGAACGTGTATTGTTAACGTGGCACTACACTACATAATGCAGGTAATCTGATAGGAAAAGTTTTTCATTGTCTAATTTTGTAAAATATATTTCTGTTTGTGTATTTAATTGCCTTTAGGTCAACTACCTGGGGATCTCCGACATTTTTTCAAAGTCGTATTGATGAGATAAAATTTATATTATTTTCATTGTTTTTAAAAAAAAAATATATGCGATAAGTACTCTACTCTGTAGGAATTTTTTAAACATGCTTTTTTTGCATAGTATTGCATAGTCAGCAGGTACATTAATTGCGAATTTTCGAATCAATCTTTCAATCGTAGAATGCATGCCTGCCTCCATCTGTTTATGACATTTCTGGAGATACTTCTGTATTATAGTTAAATCTTTTTCTATTGCTATGTTGAAGAGGGCGTTTGCTACCACAAAATTTTTGTTTTGAGCAGCGCAACCATTGCTATACTAAATATAATTAGTTTTTTATCACGAGGATTGGCCTCTACTTTCTTTTTAAGGAAATTTAAGTACTATTAGGGTTTCAAACTCATTAGCTGTAACCCGACCCTCTGTTTAATTCGACAAAAAACATTCACCTTGCGGGCGCTTTAAATCGTAAATCGTAAATAATTATGTACGATAAGTTTTATTTTGGAATAGGGGTAGCTCACAGTGGACTTTGGACGGAGTAGCACTGATTGCAGATCCGTTGTAAATACTTCATATTCTGATTCTTTGTTAGCAACCTTTTCTTTACGTGCTTCGTTTTTCAGCAGAATGTGAAAATTGTACTCATCTTGCGAAATATTCTTTGCTTCAAAAGATGCACAAACATTGCACTTATCCTTTTTAGGCTGGTATAAAGATAAATTTTGCTGATATAAAATTATGGAAAAGCTCCTGACATGGGTTTTATATTATTTTCCCAACAAAAATCTTTACAGTAAGTTCTATATAATTGTGCATTCGATTACCATACTATTTCCAAGTATAACTGCAGTTCTCGTATTTCGTCCATTTGTTTTTGTATGTTTTGCTCCTTTTATACCTTGACCGCTTCGTTCATTCTTTTGGATTCAGTGTACTGTAGTTCAGATCGTTTTCATTACATCCTTCATTACTCATAAATTCTTCAAAATCACTACTAATATCTACTTCAATCTCTGCTTCCATGATTATGAAATTCGGTCTTTGGACTTTTTATTGTCCTAGCAGTTCGTTTTTTGCTTGCACGAAATGCCTTCTTCTGATCTTTCCGTGCCATTAGTGACCATGTTTGTAATATACAAATCACCCAAATTCGTTATGATTTACGGTTCTTCCTCCAAACATGATTAATAAGCGCATTTCTTCGGTTTCTCTAGCATATTTCTCGAGACCATCAATAATTGGATTGTTATTTGCCTGCATACTGTTTGTTTACACGGCAATAACATCGTCGATGGTGTTTTGTTTTATGGATAAAGCAAGGGCAAGAGTAAAGTTGTCTAAAGTTGGCCTTTTTTTCAGTGCCGTCTAACTTTGATGGCACTTGTATATTTATAATCATGTGCTCTTTTAGCCATTTCTGTAACAAAAATAAAATATGCAGTCTTATTTTACTTTTTACTTTAATATGAAAAAAGGAAACTAACTTTACACAGATTTTTTTATTTAACTATATTTCAACGAAAATATAATTCCATACTAAATACGGAAGTATTCAAATATAAATAAATTTGAAAGAGAACAATGACTGACTTTTAAAATAGGTACCTATGCATATTACTAAACGTTAAATATGTGTAAATAAAAATTAAAATTGTTTCATAACAGTAAAAAGAAGTCATATATATTGTGGAAATATTTGTATCTCCATTTTGTGTTATCTTTTCAGTTTGGCGTATAGTGCGTATCTCCAAACGTAAATAAATATTAATTTATATTAGTTATTGTTAAACTTTTTCGATTATTGCATAAATAATAATTTAGTTTACATCAACCAATACAAATGGCGGAAGATAAGCAATCTGCTTCTCAAGAATTTGATGCATGGAGTTGCATGGAATGCCCACTCTGCTTGTCAAGATAAGTACGCGCATCTCATTCGCTCAGACGGAACCATGTTTTAAACGGAACCAGTGTTGTTCAGTGAAATTTTATTTGGTGTGCATAGAAAAATTAAACCGGTTTAATTGATTTACGGCAACCATAGACATAATATGCAATAATTTATGTCGTATTTTTAGTTGAAGAATAATTTCAAATTTACTAAATTATTAATCTCCAAAAATTTAAATTATGGTTCCGTCGTAGCTTGTCACAAATTTCTGATCCCGAATCTGTGGTTCCGTTTGAAATATGGCGATCTCGTGCTGATACACTTCAAAGAAGGCGGCATCTGAGAGTGGGCAATCTGATTATTATTTATTCTGTGATATGGTATCGTTGTACCAGATAGCGCAAAAAGTCATATTTGAAAAAAATGGAGTTACGCACTATGCGAATTACACTAACGATATTTACTTATATATATATATATATATATATATATATATATATATATATATATATATATATATATATATATATATATATATATAGCAAAACTGGTACGATTATCGACCGAAACGTAAATAACAATTTATTGTGTTTGGAATATCGGGTATGCGGTCTTTTATTATTTAAAAAACAAAAACTCTTTTTTCTTTTAATCATCTATATTTCGCTGATTTTTTGTCATCTTCATCAGAAGACAAAGATTTAGAGTGAAAAGTATTTAAACAAGTTGTTGAACATAATTTGTTCAAAACAGTAATCTTTTGAACATACCCGCATACGCGATATTCCAAACACAATAAATTGTTATATATATATATATATATATATATATATATATATATATATATATATATATATATATATACAGTAGACTCCCTCTTAACCGGTCCCGCATTAACCTGCCCTTGTATTAACCTGCCACTCCCCCAAGCGCCGCTTGCCGCTTGATGATCATCTCTCGCCCCCGATTGGTTCTGTTTTTGCCTTCGAGGAGAATTGAATTGTAGAAATTCTAAAAATGGAAAAATTAAAACCCGAACAAGTATACAACATGGATAACAAGTCATGAATAATCGGATTTAAAAAGATTAAAGAGCGCATTACAGTTGGTGTTTGTTCAAAAGCAGCAGTAACACACAAAATTCCTCTTTTCGTTGTTGGTAAGTCCACTAAACTTCGTGTATTTAAAAATTTACATCCATCGTCCCTCCCCGTATTCTACAGATCACAAAAATCAGCATGGATGAGCGGTGATCTATTCAAAAAACGGTTTGAGCGTGAATTTGTTCCGAGAGCAACGCGTCATCTTAAGAGCGTAAATCTTCCCACTAAAGCAGTCCTACTTCTGGATAATGCTGGAAACTCATCCTGGAAACCTAACATGTCAGACAGATAACATAAAAATTATCTTTGTTCCTCCTAGTACGACAAGCTTGGTGCAACCGATGGTTCAGGGTGTGATTGAGAGCTTGAAAAGACGATACAGACGTAAATTACTGTCCGAAATTTTACAATACGCAGAAAGTGAAGATCTTAATCTTATTGATATCATCATAAAAATTAACTTTAAGGACGCAATTTACATGTTAGCTTCCCCATTCCAAAAATTCCTGCTTTTACTTTCGTTAAGTCTTAGCGAAAAACATTCTTCAAGATTTTCAAACGTTATCCGGAAATGTCCCATTGCAGGCCGAAGATATTGAAGAATGGATGAACTGTGAGAATTTTTGACAGACGACGAAATAATTACACTAGCAACACATAAAGAGCCCTATGAAAATGAGAAGACTGCTGATGATGATGTTGACGAAGAGGAAAAGGTCGGCCACATCGAAGCGAGGGCTGCAATGGAGGTAGTATTGAAATATATTAAACAACAACCTGGGTCATCTTCAATAGACGTCTTGGTTTTTAAAAAATAGACAGATATAGCATAAATAAATATAAAAAAAATGTCAAGAAACAGAAGAAAGTTACCGATTTTTTTTTAAAACAAATTTGCAAAATATTTAAATATGTATATGTACATAAAAATAAATAGTATTTTTCAACTGTATATTCCATGATCTTTATTAATATACACCTTCATGAGCATGTATTTAATATACATATGTGTGTATGTACATGATTTTTCTTATAAAAATGCCTGCACATCGGATTAACCGGCCATTTGGTCAACAGACCAGGCTCTGGACCCGAGGTGGCTGCTTAAAAGGGAGTCTAGTGTGTATATATATATATATATATATATATATATATATATATATATATATATATATATATTATATATATATATATGTATATATATATATATATATATATGTATATATATTATATATATATATATATATATATATATATATATATGTATATATATTTCAATGTTTCAATATATTTATAAACTAAAAACATGTAAAATATTTTTGTGGCTTATCTACAACTAACTAAAACCAACTAGTTTTTAAAGGTCAGTGAATATCTTCTAGTATAACGATAGATATGTTTTAGAACTGTCTACAGAACATATATCTGATTTCGCAGCCATACTATCGTCTTGCAAAGACGTTATTTCAGCAGAAGTTCCTAAATATTTAGAAGATATTGCCAAAATAATAAAAGAAAATGAACGTGCAGAAGCTTTCTGCAGTTTAAATCCTAGTGAAGGGGTACCTTTTTTGAAAAATCATTGTCCCAAAGCATATGAAGTATTTTGTGAGTTTATGGATAGACATGGACATAGATGTCTTTATGAGGTAAGCTTGTTTAAAATATTTGGATACTTTTATAAGCAACCATTCAATATAAACTCCTCATCAAAATTAAATGTAATTCTAATATTTTTAAAAAAGTTTTGGAGATAATCGTAAGTAATTTATTCTATAAATAGTACATTTTTAACTCTTTTTGGCTTTGAAAGCATATTATAGTGTTTGATTTTACACATGCACACGTCAATTGCATCATAATATTTAGCTTAAAATCTCCTTATGGACCTGACCGTTTCCGGTAAAGGGTAGAATAGACGTAGTATATTGCAAAATTTCTTCATAATTCCCATTTGGTGATATAATTTTTGAAGGTTGCCGGCTTCGGTGTCATACACAGTTATGTCCTATACATGAAAACATATATTTTACTATATATTTTACGTTGAAAACATCCTAATTGTATATTTATGCCCTTGACTCCTTCTTCTTTTGTTACTTTCAATTTTTTTTTTATCAAAGGAAATGTGGATGTCCAGATGGTTGGATAGATTATTAACTACTTACATACTATTCATATTATTAGGATGGTGCAAACAATTTGAGTACCTAAAAAATTGATTTTTATTAATCTTTTATTTTTTTACGTAACTAAATAATCGTTAGATACAGAAACGGTACGGTCGCTAACCTCCTATATGTATTTGTTTGTTGACAATTAAGTTTGTATTTCTAAGAGGGTAGTTTCATCGGTGACCAACTTATCCGTATTATTCATCCGGTGTAGCATTAAATTTTTATTCTGTGTTTTAAACTTTTACTCTCTGATTAGAAATAAGTAGGTACCACATTGAAAAACTTGATCTATTATATGTTAAAGAAAGATATTTAAGGGCTTATTTAGTTTCCTTCCTGATATGTGGAAAAGACCAATAGTGGAACAATTACAATTACAAGTAGAACAATTTTTGAAGCAAAGCTTTCATACTTTCGTCATATTAATTTTTCTCTATAGTAGAAAAAGTTTTTTCTATAGTAGGAAGAGCTCATTTACTCGATGAGGAGAGTCCGTTATACAACATGTAAACGTTTCATGTCGAACAATTCTACGTTAAGTGTAGGGGAAGTGTGCCTATGTTGGACCCCTGTCTATGATGGACCCCCTGCTGTAATTTCAAATATGGTGCGGTTACATGCACATCGCCGGTTGCCGCTTGCGCATGAAGTTTGTAGTTTAGTATTTGCAAAGTTTCAGACCCATGGCGGTTATAACAGTAAATTTGTGAAATAAAATTAAAATTTGTCGTTGCTGATCTAATAAAATTTTTAGGTAAATAATAGTTTACTGGTAACATACGTTAAACCAAGTGTTGCTTTTGCTTTGTATAAAATGACTACACTTTCTTTGTCAAATACTATACTTTGTTTTAGGTTAGAATGGTCAAAACAAAATTTACTATCTTGTCTTTTTGCCTATGATGGACCCCTTAGTCGTTACCTATGACAGACTAGGGGTTTATCATACGAAAAAGGAAATAAGTTGCTACTTAACGATTAACATAATCATGACCAGTAAATATTTACGAAAACTTATATATGAAGTAGCTGACAAAAACAATATTAGCTAGAGTTTTAATAAGGAAACCAAGATGGCAGGCTGGAAATGGGTCAGACGCTTTTTAAAGCAAAATCCTCGAATATCATTACGAACTCCAGAAAATACTTCGTGGGCAAGGGCTCAAGCTTTTAATAAACCAAATATATGTGCCTTTTTAACAGCATTAGCACATATATTAGACGAGTTTCAATTTCCACTGGAAAACATTTATAACATGGACGAGTCCGGTTTGACAACTGTGCAAAAGAGATCGCAGAAGATTTATGCTAGTAAAGGTCGCAAACAAGTTGGTGCTTTAAGTAGTGCAGAGCGCGGTCTACATGTTACGGACGTATGTGCAATGAATGCAATTTTTGAAATGAAAAGTTTTGAAGCTCTCCAGTTTGCAAAAGAAAACGGTATTATTAGGTTTAGTTTTCCTGCTCACTGCTCCCATCACGTTCAACCTGTGGACGTAGGATTTTTTAGACCACTTCAAACTTACTACGACCAAGAAATTCAATTATGGCGGCGACAGAATCCAGGTAAAACAGGTATCAAATTTAAAGTAACCAATATCTTTAATAGAGCATATTTAAAAGTGCTCTTTCATCATTTAGAAAGGCAGGAATAGAACCGTTCAATCTAGATGTCTTCGAGAATTGGCAATGTTTGCCGTCTATAACAACAGATAGAAAAAATACCGGAACATCGGAACCAAAATGTTTCTTCAATTGAAGGTTTATCAAAAGTCACTGATCAAAAATCAACATCATCGTCAGTCCTAAACATCTCGGTCGAAGATATTTGTCCTCCTTCTTTAGATTTAGTATCTAAAGTAACTTAGAAAATGGGTAGAAAACGGGGTAAAACAGGATATTTAAATTCAACGCCAGAAATTGATGATATAAAACAAAAAATTGCTATGAATAACTTTTGTTATCTTAATTTTTATTAAATTTCGAAACATTTGCACAGTATACAAATAACAAGACGTTATGTGGTCATATTTCTTCTTCTTCTTCTAGTTCCATGACCGTTATCGATCGTTGGATATCATGTTGGCTACCATATTCGCTTTCGTGACTTTATTGACAGCAGCTCTAACTAACGATGTAGTTGATTTTCTATACCATTGCCTTAGATTTTTCAGCCATGATGTTCTTCTTCTACCAGGACCACGATTACCTTGGATCTTTCCCTGAATGATCAGATGTAAAAGATCATATTTTTTCATATTTAAAGCCTGCTAAATAAATAATTAAAATTATTATGGAGCAGCGCGACAAGATGGCCTCGTCACGGGTAGCGTTACAAAATAGCGGTTTTTTAAATCGATTTACTACTCTCTTTTCTAGTCATCATATATTTACTCTCAGCAGGTTTAAATTAAAAACTGCATAAAAAATAACTAATAAGAAAAGAAACTATCTGTCACTAAGACATTCGATTCTTAATGTTTGTTAAAATTTAAAAGTCATAAAAGTCATCCAAATAGTAACATTTAATCATCTTTAACTTAGAATGTTTAAATTTTTCATATACAAATACAATTATTATTTTTAAACCTATTATTTAGTTTATAATATAATATTATATTGTAATTAATTATAATATAATAATTAAAAATACCAAATGATATTTATTCATAATTTATAATTAATTGAATATTTGATCAGAAATATCAAAAGTATAAAACGTATATGACTTTTCAATATGTTAACAGCTGGCGATACGAGCAAACCTAATAATTTATTGAATTTGTTTAAAATATAAAAATAAATAAATAATAAAATTACTATTTAATTAGATTATACTCTATTTAATTTTAAAAACATTATTTAAATTGTATTATTTTTGTGTGAAAATTGTTTACATTTATTGTTTATATTTATAAAAAAAAATAGATAATTGGGGGAAAAACTAAACAAGCACCGATATTTAAAAAAGATCCAGCCAAAAACGCCAATCTTAGGCGCTAGTGTAAGATAAAGATGTTAGCTCATGTAATTCATAATAGGGTATATGAAAGGAGTTCTTTTATAATGCTCATCTTCTTTGAATCGTTCTATACTGCGCTGCGTTATTTAAATAAGTTGCTACATTTCATGAACAGCGGTAATATAAATTGAGTTTTATTAGTCACCAGAATTGGTAAACCAAAATTTAGTAAACTCAAGACAATCACATTTTATCCAAAAATTCTCATTAGATTTAATTTTTTTACGTAAAACTTTACTCTGGAGAAAAATTATAACGTTAAATTTAACGTTACACCGGGTCTGCTAACTGACCAAGGCTCATTGATTCGGATCTTAAAAAAAGTCCTGGCCTTAACTCTATTTAGTACACAATATGAGAAAATCCTAATAGAAACATCCTACATCCTAGATTCCCACCTTCCGCACAGAACTATTGGTGTGTTCAGTAATAATTGAGATACGATATAGTCCAGTTGGGATACCATTTGACTTAACATGGTAAACTGTTCCAAAATTATTCTTCTAACCTTTAGAGGGGGGTCAATAGTAGTGTAAATTTAAAATTGCGACTGAATTCCGCTGTTGCGTCAGCTGCCATTTTGATTTTTAAGGAGAACCGTTTTGCTCAATATTTCCGCCATTTTCCACTATTTGACAAAAATGGTTACAACTGAAATTGTACAAATGTGTTTTTCTACAATGTCTGTTTCACAAATGTTTTCATGCGCTCGATATTTCCGAGTTAATTGATCTCTTTCATTTTTATGCTAAAATCAATATTTAAAGTAGATGGGGTCCCGTCTAGGGTTTGTTAGGCTAAGGACCTTAAATATTGATTTCAGTAAAAAAAAATGAAAGAAATCAAAATTGCATAAAATATAATTTACTCTATTTTTGTTGAGGTACAGTCATGTCGTTAAGTTAACAATAAACGAGATTATTCGAAAATTATCCTACCCTCCCCCCTTTCCATTATTTCCACCTTAACCTGGAAAATATCGGTCGCACAAAAAAATTTATAAAAAAAGAAATTGTAGGAAATAGCATTTGCAACAATTTTAGTCGTTGGTGTGTTCTCCTTTTTCATTTCAAAAGTTCAAGATGGCGACTAACGCAACAGATTCAGTCGCGATTTTTGAGAGATTTTTGAAATCTTCTAAGAGTGCAAAAGAAATTAACTTACACAGATGGCCAAGCGACCATGGCAGCTCCTATAAGCCCTATGGTGAACTTTAGGCAAGTGTCGGAATGCCGAGGAACTTGACAAACTATCGAAACATAACAGTGTTATATATATATATATATATATATATATAATATATATATATATAAGGTTCTTGAACTCCTAAGTGGAGCATAGAGCTTCAGTGAAAACGCGCCATCGGGTTCTATTTTGCGCTAAGGCCTTCACCTCATTCCAAGACTTTCCTTGTTTTCTTATCTCGTCCATGATGGATCTTCTCCAAGTT